CGGCGCGATCTGGGAGGAGATGGAGAACATCCTCACGGCGTCGGGAGCAGCGCACTTTGGGGGAACACCTGGGGGAGATGCGCGTAGCAAGCGATGTGCTAGACGACGTGAACTTCTCCAGGAACGTTCCCGACTTCGACGAGCACGACTGGATGCAGATGAGGATCGACTTCGGGAGCTGGAGGCCGAGCTCAAGACCCTCTTGGCAGAGCTGAAGTCGGAGCACCGTGGCCGCGGGGCCGCAGAGAGGAACCAGCTGCAGGAGGAGGTAAATGAGGCCTGGGAGAGGAGGGACATGGCCGAGGCGATGCGTCTTTCACGGCTACTCGGACATTGCCGACTGGGCGCGAAGCGTCGAGACGGACGCCGCCTTGGCCCCCCTCCGCTGCCACGGGCAGAGTGGGTCGAGGCTTGGGGGGGGTCTGGCGCCCAGGGGGGTATGAGAGCGCACGGAATCGATTGGAGTGAATGGCGCGCTAGCAGAACAGGCACTCCCCCCGCCCCACCCGGGGACTCCATGGATATCAGTTGCGCACAGGGGGACTTCAAGGAGCTGAGGCCCTACGTCCGCCGCGCCAAGAAGAGGCGCACAGTTCCAAATGGCACGGCGGCGCTGGAGCTCTGGGATCTTTGCCTCTGGCCCGACAGGGCCATGGATCGTCTTCCCCGCGGCGTGGGCTTCGAGAGGACGGCGCAGGGGATGCAGCTGTTCGACGAGACCCTCCTGCGCGCGCTGACGTTGATCAGGCGCACGGAGAAGACGCCCCTGCATTGGCACCGCAGCATGGGCATCGGACTCGCCAAGAATGACAAGCCAGGCATGAAGGGAAGGCGAGTTATTCACTCTCTCCCTGCGGTGGGGAAGGGCTATTTTGCGTACAAGCTTAAGGCGCAGCTGGCCCCACAGGATCATGGATTCGCCCCCCATCGACGCAGGGGGGGCGCGCTGCTGGCGACTCAGGTGCTGGCCTGGCGCCTGAAGCAGTCGGGATGGTCGTGGGTGGCAACCCTCAAGGATATGGCGAACGCATTTGGCAGTTTGTCCTGGGACAGGTTCGATGAGGTTATCCTGGACGAGGGTCTGGTGGAGCCGCAGAACCAGAAGCTCTGCCGCGATAGGCACCGCCCGTCAGTCGTGGAGGTGGACACGAGCGACGGGGTCCTCTTCTTGAAGACGGGCGAGGGTGGCCCCATGGGGGACCCGGTTGTGGCGCAGGCGTTCGCGGCGGCCTTTGTCGCGCCCGTGGACAAGTGGCCCCGACAACTGACGCAGGAGGGGATCGCAGGACCGCTGCACGGGGGCTTCGAGGACTACTCGATCGACGTCTCGCTGTCCAAGTACGCCGACGACCTGTGCAGCGTCATCCCCCTGGAGGTTGGGTGCGACATGGACGAGGCCCTCAAGAGGATGAAGCGCAGCGACGACATCTTGGACGAGTGCCTCTTGCAGCATGGGCTGGCGCAGAATCGGGACAAGCAGGTGGCGCGCTTCGTGATTCAGGGGACGGGCTCGCAGCAGTGCAAGCGTTGGCTCCAGCATTCCATCGCACGGGGTAGAATTGACGGACGAGTCGAGGAGGCGACGAGGTACCTGGGGCCGATTGTCACGCAGGACGCCTCGGCGGCGATCGAGGTGGAACGTAGGATGGTGGCCGCCCGCGCTGCTTTCTATGCCATGGCAGGCTTTTGGTCTGCCAGCGCGCCGCGACGCCGGCGGCGCACTGTGCTGATCGGTCTAGTGCAAAACACCCTCCTGTCTGCACTCGAGGTTTTTTTACTCAGCCCCCGCCAACTCTCGCTCCTTGACCACTGCCACGCCTCCCTCTGTAAGATCGCCATGCATGGAGCCGCGTGTGAACGCAATGAACAAGGGGAGGTCACGGACCGCATGGGTTCTCTAGAGATTCTAACCTCTTGGGAATTAGTGCCGTGCGAAACGGAGCTCTGTATCCGAAGGCTTGTCTGGTACCAATCTTGGGCCTCTCGGACTAGGGTGCATGCTTGTGTTGTTGCAATGCTCTTTGGGGCCCTTGTTTTTGAGCCTGCGGAAAAGCGGCCGTGCACAGTTGATGGCCTTAGTCAGTTTGCGAGTCCCTGGGCCAAACGCATCCAGGATGACGCCCGAGCCGCGATCGAAGTGATGCCTGATGACAGGGATGTGCTTTTGCGTGTTGCTGACTGCCCCTGGCTTCATATAGAAGATAAAAAAATATCTGAGGATTTCGCTCGCCTCGATTTCAGACGTCTGCGCAGTTACCATTTCACTGCCACGATTGCGCCCCCTGGCCCATCCCGTGGTGTCTTTGACCCTGGGGCCCCTGGTGGGCTCGACCCCCCCCCCCCCCCTGTCCCTGCTGCCCCGTATGTTTGTTATTGGGCGAAAGGGGAGGGGACGCAATGTGGCGATTCTTTCTGCACGAAGCGGGGTCTCACCGAACACTTGAGACACAAGCACGGCGTCTATAATTTAGCTGCTCTGCTCTGCCCGTCTAATGAATGTATCGTGTGTAGGAAGATTTTTTGGAATAGGCAAACGGCCTACCGACACCTCGAGGGCTCGATACTCAGGGGGCATTGCGGAACGAGAGGACCGAGTGCGATTGCGACCAGAGCTGAACCGAGGGATCTGGGGTGCCGCAGTTGTTCGTACGAGTCGGCCGACTACGACGACCTCTGTAGCCATCTTCGGGCTCATCTTCCCTGGTCGGTTTCCTCGGGGGCGTGTTTTCTCGCACGACAGCGTCGCCGCCATGACCTCGGACGTGGCGATGCCCTCGTGGATGGCGAGGTCGGCCTCGCCCCCTGCGTCGGCGCCGCGCCAGAAGCGGGGCAAGGCAGGCAACCCCAAGGAGAAGGCCGGCCAGCTCCTGGTCGTCATCGCGAAGCTCGCCCTCACCACAGCCCGACAGGCAGCGCAGCTCGAGAGCGTGTGCTACACCACGATGTTCATCAGCGAGGCCGACGGCAGCCTGGGACAGGTGCGCCGCAAGAGTGGCATCGAGTACGACGGCGAGAGCAAGAGGCTCCGCGAGAGGGTCGCGGGCGGCGAGTCGGTCGACTTCAAGGCCCGCGGGCCACCTCACGTCCACCTTCTCGGCGCCATCATCAAGCGCAGCATGGAAGTTACGTCGTCGGGGGGGGCGACTCCGAACGCAGACGGGCACAATATCTTCCTCGAGTACTGGCAGCAGGTAATAGTCGTCAAGAAGCCTCAGGAGATCGCGGAGCAGGTCCTCCACTGCAAGTACCGCAAGGCGAGGACCACGGGAGAGGACGCCAGGGGGGTTCTGTCGTTTGTGCTGAACTCGAAGGTGCCGACCGCCAACTCTCTGCACCCGATCCTAGTGGACTACCTCTCGAAGGTGGAGAAGGCGGAGGCGGTGCACGGGCCAGCGCCGAGGGGCTCCTTGGAGCGAGAGGCAGGCAACCTGCTCCAGGCTTTCAATCAGCTTTGATGGCCAGCAGTGAGAGGCTCGCATCATTGATTGCCAGGGGAATTGTCAGCCCTGCAGTTTTGTCCGCCACGAGAGTGGCGACGGTGTACGCATCACCGCTTTTGCCCACATCTGTCGTCCAAGTGGTGAGTCCGACCCGCCGTGCGCGTAGAAGGAGAGGAGCGGGAGGTGGGAGTGCCGCCGTCCCGAGCCAGCCTGTGCCTGCCGCCCCTGAACCATTTTTTAAGGCGTGTCTCGGATAGTGCATCCCGCCCCCCTGCGAGGGAGCTTATTTCTTCGAGGGAGGTCAGGGCGGAGTGTGCCAGCAACAGCAGTACCCACGGGGAACGGCTCGCGGATGGGACGGGCGGGACGTTGGAGGGTGGGTCGGGAGTGACAGATCCGCGAGCTGGTCCCCGTGCGGGGGGCACCCGCCTGGCTGCGCGCCAATCGGCGGGCCGCTCCCTGGGGCCGTGCGGGCGGCGCCCGACAGGCCATGGTGGCCACAACAAGTGATCAGTCCTCTTTCGATTGTCGCGAAGCGACGCCCAGGTGCGAGACAGCCGCGAGACCTCCGTCCTGCCGCGCCCAAGGGTTCCGAGCCGAGCCGAGCCTCCTCCTCCTCCTCCTCCTCCTCCGCCTCCTCCTCCTCCTCCTCCTCCTCCTCCTCCTCCCTCGAAGCCTCCCTCGGAACCGGACTCGCGCGCCGCCCGAGCCTCGAGCCGCCGCCCAATCCGAGCGCGGCGCCAGCTGCTGGCCCCGCCGTCGCCACGCGGATGCCCCGCGCGTCCGCGTGCAAGGCCGCACCGCCGCGGAGAGCCTCGCGAGCCGGGAGGGCTCCCTTCGCCCTGCCTGCCAGCTTCGCCTGCATGGCCCAGGGAGCGACGCCTGCTGCCGCTGGGCGACCTCCTCGCCGCCGGCCGGGCTGCCCACGGCCATGCCAGCTGCCTCCATGCCGTCGCAGATGCGCCAGAGCTCCTGCGGGAGCCTCGCGATGGCGTTGCCCGCCGACCAGGGCGCCAAAGTCACGTCCGGCCTCCCGCTGCACCACCGCGCGCCTCGGCGCGCACTCCGCGCCGTCCCGTGCAACCGTCTCCCATGCATCGACAGGCAACCTCCATCAGCTTGAGTTCCAGGGCGCCCAAAGCGACTAGCTTGCGCAATGGGGTTCGTTCGCTGTTAAGCGGCATGAGCCCAAATTGTTTCAGCCAAAATGGCTACGGCCAGAAGGGAGAAGGAGGAGTAGGAGGAGGAGGTGGAGGAGGAGGATAGGAATGAGGAGAAACAAAAGGAAGACAAGGAACAGAGTGTGGAGGAGGATGAGGAGGACGAGGAGGAGGAGGAGGAGGAGGAGGAGGAGGAGGAGGAGGAGGAGGCCACCAATGGAAACAGCGGCGACGGCGCAAGCGAGGTCTTGAGCAGGACGAGAGCGTCGAGCGCCTCGGCACATGGCACCACATCCATAGCTGAGGCCAGTGAGGCACAGAGTCACCGCGGCTATCCTTCCCTCGTGGAGGACAGATCGTCTGCGATCTTCCCTTCACCCAGCTCGATCGCCGCCATGTGCCCAAGACGCATTCGTACCCCTATGCCGCGTGATCATCAGCTCCGATGCTCCCTCACAAGGCCCGTCGGGTCTGTGACTCGCCAGCGCCATGCACCTCGGGCTTGACGGCCAGCCGATCCGTTCGCGTGCCGGCGTCGGTGGGTGACCCCCTGTCTGCGGTGGAGACGCCCGCGTTGGTCTGCGACCTTGACAAGGCCGAGACCAACATACGCCACTTCGAGGACACCATGAGAGATTTCCCCAGCGTGCGGTTGCGACCACACTTCAAGAGCCACAAGTCGGTGGATCTGTGCAAGGTGCAGCTGCAGTCGCCGCTGGTCTCCGGCTTCTGCTGCCAGAAGACGTCCGAGGCAGAGGCGATGGCAGAAGCGGGCATCAACGACATCTTGCTCACGAACGAAGTGGTGGTGGAGCGGAAGATCAACCGGCTGCTGGGGCTGCTGCAGCGGCACGAGACGCTGCGCCTCGCCGTGCTGGTCGACGACCCCTCTGAGGCCAGCAAACTCAGCTCATTTGCGGCCCATGCGCAAGTGGAGCTTGGCGTGTTGGTCGAGTTGGACTGCGGGGGGGGGCGCTGCGGCGTGACCAGCGTGCAAGAGTGCGTGTCGCTGGCTCAGACGTTGCATGCGCTGCCCGCGCTGCGTTTCCGGGGCATCCAAGCTTACCACGGCACCGCACAGCACTTGCGCACGCCACAGGAGCGCAAAGCGGCGATCGATAGCGTGCTGCTTACGCTGCGCGAGGTGCGATCGCGCCTCAGCGAGCTGGGGGTGCCGTGCGCGGAGATCACGGGTGGTGGCACGGGCACCTACCTGCACGAGGCGGCGAGCGGCGTGTACACGGAGGTGCAGGCTGGCAGCTTCCGGTTCAACGACGTGGACTACGGCGCCAACCAGGACGCGCACGGAGTGCAGCTGTCCGACTCCGAGTGGCAGTTCAGCCTCAGTGTGCTCTCCACCGTGATGAGCCGCAACGAGCGGCAGCGAAAGTGCGTCACCGACGCGGGCATGAAGGCGCACAGCGTGGACAGTGGGCCACCAAGGCTGCTGCACGCAGTGGAGGGCGCAGAGGTGCGCAACGGCGGCGACGAGCACCTCATCATCACGTATCCCGAGGGAATCGCCGTGCCACAGCTTGGCAGCCAGGTGTCGGTCGTGCCTGGACACTGCGATCCCACCGTGAACATGCACGATTTCCTTGTGGCTACACGTCAGGGCGTCGTGGTGGGCGTATTCCCTCTCGCACGCGGCCCCGGCTTCTGATCAGGCCACGGCCCATTGCTTGATGGAGCTTGCGGCGGGCAGGTCCGTGCGGCTTTCCAGGCTTGCTTGGAAATCAGTTGCGTCGCGCCTGATCGTGTCACCGCCTCCGTCGTTCGGTCGGTCGTCGAACGTTCGTCGTTGGCCGCTGGCCGTTCGTCGTTGCCGTCGTCAGCGGCCGTCGCCGTCGTGGCCCGCGCGGGGGTCAGGCGGCGAGGCGATGGCGCGCGGACGGTCGGTGGCCCTTCCGCTGGCGCTGCTGGGCGCGGCGGCTGCGGCGCTGCTGCTGTCCTGGGGCGCGCCGCGCCTCGCCGCCGTCGTCGCCGATGCCGCCGCCGCCGCCGCCGACGTCCGCCGACATCGGCGTCCCTCCTCCTCCTCCTGGTCCCTCCTCCCCGTCCTTCCTCCTCCCCCTAATTCTCCTCCTCCTCCTCCTACTGCTGCTGCTGCTGCTGCTGCTGCGCCTCCTCCTCCTCCTCCTCCTCCTGTTTCTCCTCCTCCTCCTCCTGATCTTCTTCCTCCTCCTCCTGATCGTCCTTCCCACCCCCTGCACTCCCATCTTTATTCCTTCTCCTCGCGGGCGACGGAGATGAAAACGTTGGCGGCGCCGCGTTTTCGCCCTCCCTCCTCCCTCTTCTCCTCTCTCCCTTCTCCCACTTCCTCCCCACCACCGACTTCCCCCTCCCTCCCTCCTCTCCCCCTCATACCTCATCCCTCCTCGCTCTTCTCTCCTCCCGCCTCCCGCCTCCGTCCGTTTTTTTTTTTTTCTCTCTCTCTCTATATATCTTTCTCTCTTTCTCTCTTTCTTTCTGTTTCTGTGCCTCTCTCCATCCACCCATCATCCTCTTCGTCCTCCTCGTCCTTCTGCTCCTTCCCCTCTTCCTCCTCCCCTTCTCGGCCTCCTGCCCACTCTTGCCTCCTGCGCCTTACTACTTCTGCCTCCTTCATCCTCCTGCTCGTCTGAGCCCCTCTTTTTAAGGGGCTCGCGAGGTTCAGCAGCGGGCGTTTCGCCCGAAACTTCATCACACGTTTTGACGCGTATCCCCACCGGCCACCGGCCCATCTCTGTTCTGAATGGTCCGTAGGTGAGTTGCTGTGAGAAGGGTATCGGAGGATCAGCAGCGACACCAGCAGGGGAATGCCGGTCCTTCCTTCCCCCAATGACGCAAAGGACGACAAAGGCGACGACGACGAGGAGGGCGACACCGCTGTTTCCTCGTCATCCCCCTTCTCCCCCTG